CCCCAAAACCCCAAAACCCCAAAACCCCAAAACCCCGGAACCTTAGCTGTGTACTGAATATAATAACTATTTAATCATGCTCAATGCCTTCTCTTTGGAACGAGACCTTTGTTGACTTTATCAGGGATTTTGGCCGATTGGCAAGAAGCCTAAAGGATTATAGTAAAAAGCCTTACTTGACCTCATTCTTCTTCTTGCAATCTACCATGGTTTTCATCTTGAAATTGTATTCCTTCATCTGGAGAGACTCAATGTTGAGTTTTAGCAAAGAGGCTACTTTAGACATCTTTTTCTTCTTTGGAGCATGTTCTAGAGAAAATGAGATTTATTGGATTCGATGCTGACTTACTGTTATTCAGGAAGTGGTACACTGACTCTAAGTGCGAGTAAGTATTTCTGAGCTTATTTTTGGGCTTTACATTCTTTTCTATCACTAAAGTCAGGATTTTAGAAGAGTCCTCGTTTAGTAGAACGTCTTGTAGACTTTTGCCATTGAAGAAAAGAGTTGTCTTTTGGGATTCTTTAAAGGTAACAAGTCTCGAATATCCCACATTTTTCTTAGTTTCCTCTACCTTGTATTGATCTGTTGTGTATTGAATAAAATTTTCAGAAGTTTCTACACCGAGTTTGAAGTCGTAATCCTCAAATGCCTCTTTGATTTTCAAAATTCTGTTTGATAGCTTGATCGGGTATTCAGGATCTTCGTGCTTCTTTGTCTCAATATGGAAGTAACTCGACACAAGAATTCCTAAGTTGCAGATCGCTATTCCTTTACCGCAGTTTATATTCTTGTATTCTTCTATTGCTTTGATGAATGAGTTTTCTAACTCTTTTAAAGAAATTTTGGAATGCATCATTGACAAAAATGCCTGAAATTGGTAGATTTGAGCTTTAGCTAAAGCACTGATGTTTGGCTTTGCTAGATACTCTGTGATAGCCTTCCTTGCATCTGAGAGCTTACACAGTCTTATACAAATAGAGATATAGTAAACAACCATAGCTTCTTCTGCCCTTAATTTCTTCTTGTGGAGATCTTTAGAGTTTTTGCAGGTATTTCGAGGAGTTTTAAGGACTGGCTTGACTTTGTTTGTCAGTGAAGTCCTTCTCGCCCTTTTCTTCGGACAGGGGTCAATGTTATACTCCTCATCAACATTATTTCTCCTAGTGAGAGAAACCTGCTTCTGACGTTTTCTCTTTTCATATGTATGATAGCGGTCTTTTTCTTCCTCAGAATCAGAGTCCCAATGATCAGATTCTTCAAATTGGACTGCATTAAGGAATGCTGCAGGAGTTTTAGTATTTTTCTTCTCTTCAGAATCATCTGATTCATATTCCTCGTTCAAGTCAAGCTTGATAGTCTGGACTCTTTTAATAGGGAATAGGTCAGAATTCCTTCTCTCTGATTCATCAACAGCTTCATCATAATCATCAGTGGGGGCTTTCTTATTAACTGCTCTGTAGATGCATGCCCAGATGTTTCTTTCGTTCTCGATTAAGTCAGACTCTTTATGCTCACGATTATTGATCTTCTCAAGGAACTTACTCAGGAAATCCTTGTAAAATTGACAGCATTTCTGGTGAAATTTAGCCTTTTTCTTTGGATTTTTATCTAATAATTCTCTTGCCCGAGTTGTCATGATAGGGAGTAAGATAAGCATACTTCGATTATTCTTGTAGGTCACCATTGATGAGCTGAGCAAGTCAAATTTGAGGTTCTGCCATCCCTTATCACCCCAGAGCGCTGCTAGTTCGACCTGCTTGATACCTTCTGGGAATAATCCAATGAATTGGAAAAGTTCTAACGCTTTGATATTATTTTTCTTTGTTCTTTGGATTAGAAAATCAATCGAGGTTCTAAGGGAAGCATACGATTGCTGTCCCTCGTTTTCAAGAAAATCTAGCATATTCGTGTCCATTAATTTTTCAAATAACTCAGTCATTGTTATATGTTCTAGCCAGGGAGCTGTCAAAGAGATCGCCTGAGGATGCCCGCCCAACATTTTGATTAATGGATGGTTTGTCAATGTCATGTCTGAGGAATTAAAATGGGATAAGTATTCATTCATCTGCTGTTTTCCTGAAGGTTTATATTTCAACAGTTCTTGGATCTCGCTGGTCTCTATTTTTCTGCTCACGCTATCAATCAGTAGTCTGATAGAATACTGGGGCTCCAGAGGGCCTAAATTCATTGATCACTCTGTAAAATGTCTGACTGTGCCTATAGATTTTCTTGAAGTCGAGAGAATTTTAACATCAGGTCATTTAAACAGAAGATTATTCAATGCTTTCTTGAACTTGGAGGGATCTTCATCAAGGAGGTATTCTCATCCATCAAAAATAATAAGCACTTCTTTATCTTTGAGACATTTAGCTATTATCTTGGACTTTGCCTTGCCATCTGGATCAATGTCTTCTTCATCATTGCTAGTATTAGAGTTTATAGAGAGTTGCTTGCTATAAATTCTCTCATCTTCTTTCTCATCATCTATTCATTCTTCAATAATGTTTAGAAGGTTGGTTGTGAGGGTAGATATTGAGTGAACACCTCTGAGAGGGAGATATATTATCCCATCCTCCATCCTATGCCTGTCATGGATATTATTGCATATCATGCATGCAATGGCTGTTTTGCCAATACCAGGAGGCCCAAGAATGTTCACAAGTCTGTTATTATTTATCTTATCCAAAATAGTTCACATGTCCTCTTGCCTCCCTGAAAAATTCTCAATCATTGAAGGGATCTGGTTGAAAATCGGAGTTTTCGTAAGATTTGTCATTTTTCCTGGCTTCAGATTAAGAACAGGAAAGCATTTGTGTTCAAATTTATTTTTTGTATTTGGAATGGGGAACCTGTCATTCACAAATAACAAATATTTGCTTGCCTCGAAGGAAGAAAATAAACTTTTTATATCCCCTTTCGCAATGTTAAAGGCATCTCAGACAGAATATTTCTTCATAAATAGTGTTTCATAGAACACTTTTGAGAATCTGAGAGAAGCTTTGTCTAATACAGTGTCCTCTTTTTGGATACAAATTACATGATGAGCACCGAAATTCTGGAAGATCTTCCCTGGAGCTTCTGAATGGCAAGACGATACAAAGACAACTTCATAGTTGTCACTGATATTGTCTTTTGATTGCTTCATAATCCCAATTAAATCTGTGAGATCTTTTTCAAAGAGATAATCAGCCATTCAGTTTTCATCCTCCAGTAACAGAATGTCTCCCTTTTCTTTATAAAGATTGTAGTCTGATCCTAAGGAGGCTTTGTCATTCTTTACTCCATGACCAGTGAAATGTAGTGCAAAGGGAGGATCTGCTATCATACTTCTGAAGTTATTAATAGTTGCCACTTCAGTTTTATACTTTAGTTCTTTATCAAAATTCTTAAACACTTTTTCAATTAAAGAGATTTCATTTTTATAATCAAGCTGCATGATTGTACCAACATTCTTGGAGAGTTTCCTCACTAAAGGAGATGCAAACATGAAGGCAAGGTGGCAGTTAAAGTCAGTTTCTGCTGAAGATACCTGCTTGACCTTCTTTAGCTTCTCTATTTGGTTATTACTGAACATAAGCTCATTCTTGAGACTTTCAATCTGTTCATTTGCTGTGTATTTATGATCCACTATCTTAGCTGTCTGCATCCGCTTAATTTTCATCTTAGATGGAGCAAGTGCAGCTCTATCCTTCTTTGTATCTTTGCTGATAGACCTCTGCATATTTGAGTGAGTAGAGATGTTGATCGGACAAGATTTTGTAAACAGATTATTTGGGATCCTCTGAATCTGTACCGTCTTCAAATTTCATTTCAGGGCTGGGGTTGTCAGCTTCATCTTCTTCGTCTGAGAAACTGTCATCAATACTCATGTCATCTAGAAAATCCATGACATTGGAGACCTAGAGATTAGTTGATTATTACCTTTGCATGCTCCTTCTGGGGAGCTTGCTGGTCACTAGGAGCTGTATTCATTTTAAGAGGTTTCTACAGTATGAAAATCACCAAATTACCTGACTTGGTTCTGGAAAATCTTTCAATCAAGATGTCTTCACTGGTGCAACTTTGTCTGATTCCTCCTGTTCTAAAGTCATTAATGAGAGATATACATACTTAATAAGCTAATTTTCTGGACAAGGTCCTTGAGAATCTTGATCTTGAATCCTGTCTGGGGATGAACAACTTCAACAAATTGGTCAGTCTCTCATTTATTCTGAAGGCCAAATACTTTTAAGAAATCTGACACATCATGAATAACATGATCCTTAGGGACTGCCTCAATGTTGATCCCTGAAGTTGAAAGTAGTTCTTCAGATTTCTTATCATTACTAGACGGAGCAGTGCTTATAAGTTTATTTAAGGAAATTTGGGTTTAAAATACTCGTTTTTTCAGGTACTTTATTCTCCACTTTCTCAAGTTCTTGTACCTGCTGCTCAGATTCTTCATCAATTTTCTGGAGAAGTGTATCTCCAAAGCGAGCTGTTGGCTTTGAGATAATCTGATCTCCTTTATTTTCTTCAGAAGTAATAGTGAAAGGACTATCCTTTCTTACCTCTGCATTAGATATTTTGGACTTCACTCCTTGGCTCTTAAGTTTATTGACTAGGCCAATTGCAATTTGTTTCCTAAGAAACCCAACTTGTTCTTGAATTGAATTTTCAAAAGCATTTTTAGCGAAGAGAAGAGACTGCTTATCGGTCGTAGCAGGCTTCGAGGTAGCTTTGTTCTTCATAGTCATCAGCCGATTTAGTGGTGCCTTTTTGTTATCACTCCTACTAAATTATTTAGGACCAATTACTTTGGAGGAGAATTCGATAAATCTTTCTCGCTGTCTGAACTTTCTTCTATAATGAAATTTATTATGGAAAACGTTGACTTTACCTCTTATTCATGATTCTATCACTCCGTTGCAGTTGAATCCAAGCAAATGAGAATCAAGGCCTTTGAAATTACTTAAATTCGCCGTATTCTCTGATGATGATTTTGTGAATTTTCGTGGGATAGGTTTCTTGTCTAGATTAATTAGAAAATGCTCAAAATTAAAAAATTTGCTGTAGAAATATATTCAGAAATATCTTAAACTGGAATCAGCCCCTTGAGGGGGCTTATTCTGCTATTTAAAATATTGTAATTTCATAAATTTTCTAGACTGAGCACAGTTATATTGGTGAGCAATAAAATAAACAATACTGTTAGCCTATTAGATGTTAGCTCAGGAATCTAGTAATCCAACTATAAACTTCTCCCAAATATCTATTTAGCTCAGATGTTACTGTGAGAATTAGGGTAGCTCTGAGAAAAGGCCTACTTCGTTTTTTAAGTTCCATTTTATATCTATGATAGGTATAATATTTCGAGCTTATTATATTGCTGGGGTTTTGGGGTTTTGGGGTTTTGGGGTTTTGGGG